AATTTTAGTGTTTTTAACTGAGGAGCTTTGATATATTTATTTTACATTAATTATAGCAGAGGAAGTTCTCTGCACAGAAATTTTTTTACTGTTTTTTTTAACCAAACTGACAAGTTTCTCCAGTAAAATTATTGTGTAATTTAAAGGCATTGAAACACCTTGTTAAATTTAGAAGATATTATGATTAACTACAAACATCTGAAGCTGACTCAGAGAACTCTGTGATTTTAGAAAAATATAATACTCATATAATACGCAAATAAAGTATAATGGTAGGGGAAGCACTGGATTAGCATTAGCTCATAATTGCATAATTTACAGAAACTGTGTATAAATGTTCATATTCAAATAAGACACATGGAACCACCTGGGAGTTTCATAAAAATCCACCGTTCAGGACATATTTTACTAACAGGCAAACAGAAAAGACTACAAATATTTAACGGCGAGATTTAAACACAGATCTTGCATGTGTTAGCGGTCAGAGAATGTGTTGGGGGTCAGACTCAGCTACTACCACACCAAACATCATGTTTGTGGTGTTTAATGTTCAGCTGACTGTGGCAGCCATCCTAAATTCACTTGACTCCAAAGGTTAATCTGTTGTAGTTCCAAACATTATTTTCTACAAGTTTCATTAAATTTGTCCAGTTGTTCATGAGCTATTTTGCTAACAGATACACAAACACAAGCAAAACAGTGTCCATCAATAGTCTTTCCTACAGCAGTAGAGGAAAATTTACAGGGGTTGGACAATGAAACTGAAACACCTGGTTTTAGACCACAACTAGAAGCACTCGGAGAGTGCAAACCTCCGCCAAGACCAATTTCCCTCATCCTGTAATAGAGTTAATGCGCAAAAGCAGAGATGAAAACACATTTGCCGAATAAGTTCTGACGTAGCGAACATTTAAGCAGTATGCAGGGGATTTGTTCCCGGTGGAGTCCAATGTGAAAAAAAACAAAAACAAACAAAAAAAACAAACAAAAGTCAGACTCGTCACCCAACATTATTCATCGTCAAACTGGTGTCGGATTAAGCGCCTAAGTTTTCATCAGTCACATTTCACTAAACGTCTGATTTATCCCCTTGTATGAGTTTGTAATGATTTGACACTCTTTATAAAGTGCTTCCTGGCTCCCCTGGTCTGCAAACTTTGAGGCACAGCCAGAAGCTCTGTTTACAAGCCTAGTAGCGAGAAACCGTTTTGATTAGTTGTTTGGGAAATGTGGTGTGTTTGAGGAAATGGGAAAAATAGGTTTCATGGTGCAGTCACGCACTTCCTGGTCACAAAATGTTCTGTAAGTGTGCACCAAATGTGTGAAAATGCCCACATTATGGCAAAAAATTATTCATCATTAAATGTGGTTTTAACATTACTTTTGTAAAGCTTGAAGTCTGTGCTGTCCAATCCAGCTCAATGTTTTTTACAGAAGCCCTGTGAAAGCATCACAGCTTTGCCGATCTCAGAGTGTTAAAAGAAAAAAAATTCCTGTATCCGCATCGTGATCCGGAACATCACCAAAATTTAATGGTGTGTTCCTTGGCCCAGTATCCATGTGTTAAAAATGTCATGACAATCCGTCCGCAAGTTTTTGAGTAATGTTGTCCACAGACAGAAAGAACGACAGAACAACAGACAGACTGACAGACATACGCGACCGAAAACATTACCTCCTTGTCCTTGGCGGAGGTAATAATTTATTAGTATGGTGTAGGGCTTCCTTTTGCGGCCAACACAGTGTTAATTCATCTTGGGAATGACATATACAAGTCCTGCACAGTGGTCAGAGGGATTTTAAGCCATTCTTCTTGCAGGATAGTGGCCAGATCACTACAAGATGCTGGTGGAAGAAAACGTTTCCTGACTCGCTCCTCCAAAACACCCCAAAGTGACTCAATAATATTTAGATCTGGTGACTGTGCAGGCCATGGGACATGTTCAACTTCACTTTCATGTACATCAAATCATTCTTTCACTAGTCTTGCTGTGTGTATTGGTGCATAGTCATCCTGGTACACGGCACCGCCTTCAGGATGCAATGTTTGAACCACTGGTTGCACATGGTCCTCCAGAATGGTTCGGTAGTCCTTGGCAGTGACGTGCCCATCAATCACAAGTATTCAACCAAGGGAATGCCATGATATAGCAGCCCAAACCATCACTGATGCACCCCCATGCTTCACTCTGGGCATGAAACAGTCTGGGTGGTACGCTCCTTTGGAGCTTCGCCACACCATAACTCTTCCAGATGTGGGAAAAACAGTAAAGGTGGACTCATCAGAGAACAATACGTTTCACATCGTCCACAGGCCAAGATTTGCGCTCTTTGCACAAACTGACTGTCATTGGCACGAGTGGCCAAAGGTTTGGATATAGCAGCCCGGCCATGTATATTGACCCAATGGAGCTCCTGACGGACAGTTCTGGTGGAAACAGGAGAGATGAGGTGCACATTTAATTCTGCAGTGATTTTATGTTTTTTGGACACAATCTGGGTTAACATTCGAACATTCCTTTCAGACAGCTTCCTCTTGCGTCCACAGTTAATCCTGTTAGATGTGCTTCGTCCTTCTTGGTGGTATGCTGACATTACCCTGGATACTGTGGCTCTTGATACATCACAAAGACTTGCTGTCTTGGTCACAGATGCGCCAGCAAGACGTGCACCAACAATTTGTCCTCTTTTGAACTCTACTATATCACCCATAATGTTGTGTGCATTGCAATACTTTGAGCAAAACTGTGCTCTTACCCTGCTAATTAAACCTTCACATTCTGCTCTTACTGGTGCAATGTGCAATTAATGAAGATTGACCACCAGGCTTGTCCAATTTAGCCATGAAACCTCCCACACTAAAATGACAGGTGTTTCAGTTTCATTCTCTAACCACTGTATGCCTACCATATCTTTGGTGGTTCTAGGACCCTTACCCCCCAGACAGTAAATGTACGGGTTAAATGTCCCCATACCATCTTTGGCTGGTTACATTTCAGAAAACACTGTAATAAAAATAAAAAAGGTAACTGCACTATACTTAAAGTCTTTGGTGATGTTGTCAAAGGTTGTGGGGTCTTTCAGTTGTGCGACGAGGGTATCAGACGCCTTTTTCACCAGAATGGGGCACTCTGTGTTTTCTGAGGCCAGTGAATGCCACACAACCTCCAAGTACTCTGAAAATACACAGACAGGACATTTAATATGCAACACCATTCTGAGTGAAAAACACAGAGCCAACATCTTACTGTAACAGTGCTGACTAACTTCAGTGCTGTTTTATGGTATTAAAAACCAAACTTCAGGACATCATGTTCACTGTTCTGTGTTGGGTCAGGATTTCCCTCGGGTTGCAGGGAAAGCGAGTAAAATAAGTCTTTAAGATAGTACGAGTGTGTGGACGGAAAAAAGGCTGGGTCCATAATTAAAACCACTCTGTCCTTGATTCCAGCCTGCAGCCTTCTGGGTAAAAACAAGCAAACACACACAAACAGGAAAGCACTCTGTGAGGTGACTAGACCTCAGAGAAAACAAACAGGATGTTTTTCTGCACGAGTCGTAAATAAAACAAAAGCTCACAAAATTGAGAGATAAAGGCCTCAGAAGATTTTATATTGGCCATAAGATAAAATTTGCTTACTTATGAAATGAGACAAATTTTCACGTTTCGTTTTCATGTCAAAAGATGTGTTGACAGTTTAAAATGCAAAAGACCACAAGGTTTACAGCTGGTTTCATATTGGATTCTGTACTAAATTCCTGGAAAGAAACCATCAAAAAGGAGTTAAACTAGGAGATCAGAATCAGCTTTATTGCCATGTCAGTGATAACACAGACTAGGAACTTGCAGTTCAGAACATCCGTTCGGAGAGAGAGACACATAAACATGGGAGAACGAATGTCCATGGTCATTTGCACTACGGTGCACTACCTTTTGCAGCTTAGAATACACACACACTAGGAAAGGTGAGTTGAAAATGGAGCGCTGATTCTATGTTTTATACAGAAACACAAACAAGCGCTCAAAAACTACTCTGCACAGTGCAAGGCAGCTAAGGAGGGGTGGGGGGGGGGGTCAGAAACACATGGTATGGGGAGGGGTACAGAGGAGCTGGTGACATTCCATGTTAGGGCTGCCACAAACGGTTATTTTTATAATCGATTAATCACTGATTATTTTTTCGATTAGTCAACTAATCAGATCATACGTTAACTGAATATAAA